TGTGCTTGCGAGGCAGGCGGTGGAACCACTGAGCTAAATCCCCAGCCCCCGAAGGGGAATTGTAACTGCAGAGCTACACGGGGGCTCCCACCACCCCAAAGCTGGGGCTGGTGGGAGCAGCAGGAGTGAGTTGGGGGCAAACCTGAACCGGCCGGGCGCTGGGCAGATGAGGGGCTGCTGGAGCACTGGTGTGACTCCTTGGTCTGTGCCTGTGGAGGCCGCCTTGCCATTCTGGTCAAAGGCATTAGAACAGTGTTGATGCACCAGCAGGGCCGCCATGGGAAGTGGCCAGGAGGAGGACGCCCCAAGTCAGGTGGCAGCAAGTTGGCCAATCAGAGAGTCTGCATGCAGAATGGGCAGGTCATTTGGCCAGGGAGGGGCCCTTCGTACGGTCCTCAGGTAGATGCTGGGCATCCCTTCCTGGCACCCAGGGCCTGGCTGGCACTGGGGCTGGCCAGCACTCCAGGTTTTCCACCAAGAAGCCGTGGGACAGGGTGAAGGAGAGTAGGACGTTCTCACCAGAACTCCCCTGCCAGACGGCCAGCTTGGGCTGGGGGAGGACAGGTTCCCAGTGTCCCCCCTCAGTGGCCCTGAGACCAGCACAGTCACTGGAGAGGCCCTGATTGGGTGTTGGTCCTGGCAGGGAGAGGCTGGGCTGTGTTGGAGCACAGGACGCTTGCCTGGGCTGATGATTGAGCACTGCGGGGAGGAGGCCCCGTGAGGGAGCTGTCTGAGAAAAAACAGCTGGCAGTGTGACGTGCGGCTCAGCCTGAGGGCCTGGGCCCGGACAGTGCTCTTCCCACCCTTGGCCTCAGCTTCCTCTGGGCACTATGTGTCTGTGCAGATGGGGCAGTTAGGGAGGACCGTGACCTCCCAGGGCCCTTCCAGCTGGGGATTTTTTTTTTTTTGGTGAGGTGCCAGGATGGAACTCAGGACCTTGTGCTTTTGAGGTAGGTGGCTGCACCACTGAGCTAAATCCTGGGCCTGCGGAACTAGGGATTGAACCCAGCCTTCTCACTGAGCTATCGCCTCTGCCCGATTTTGAGACAGGGTCTTATTAAGTTACTAAGTTGCTGGGGCTGTGCTGGAAAATTTGATCCTCCTGCTTCAGCCTCCCACAGTGCTGGGATTACAAGTATGCACCTTTTGTTTTTCCCCTTTTCATTTTAAAGTTTTGTTTTTTGTTGGTACTGGGAATCAAACTCAGGGCCACTGAGCCAAATCCTGGCTCTCCCTTTCTTTTTTTTTTTGGCACTGGGGTCCTTGCAACTTGTGAGGCAGGCGGTGAAACCACTGCACTAAATCCCTGGCCCTCCCCTTTTCTTTTTGATTCAGGGTCTTGCCATGTTGCCTAGGCTGCCCTTGAACTCACAATCCTCCTGCCTCAGCCTTCCAAGTAACTGGGATTACAGGGATGCACTACTGTACCCAGATTTTATTTCTGCTTTTTTACTTTTTGTAACTGGGGATCGAACTTGGGACCTTGTGCTTGCAAGGCACGCGGCGGAACCACTGAGCTAAATCCCAGGCCTAGATTTTTATTTCTAAGACCACTCATTTCTATTTTACTCTTTGAACTGCACTCTCTCTGTGAGACTCTGCTGCCCTGTGTAGGACATAAGGAGGGAAGTTGAAACCGATCAAATAAGAAAAGGGAGGTTTTAAAATTGACTTTAACAACTTCCTGTGCATCTCAGTAAGTTGAAACACTGGACTGGGAAAGCAATAGTCATAAACATTTTTGTTATGTATCTTCTGCAAATTGTTCTTAAGTTTTTATTTCACTTTATACACTCATGTAAAAGTATATTTTGGGGGGTACTAAGGATTGAACCTAGGTCTTTGTGAATGCCAGGCAAGGACTGTACAAAGGGCCTATGTCCTCAGCCTTTTTTATTTTTTGAGACAGGGTTTCTGAATTGCCCAGGTTGACCTTGAACTTGTGATCCACCTGCCTCAGTCTCCTGAAGCTAAGGTTACAGGATTGGGCACCATGCCAGATTTATATTTTATTTTATTATTATTATTATTTTTTGGTACCAGGGATCGAACTTGGGTCCTTGTACTTGCAAAGCAGGCACCAGAACCACTGAGCTAAATCCCCGGCCCTCAGATTTATATTTTAAATAGTATAAAACATTTATTTCCTATGCAATAGACACTCATTGCATTGCTTTGAAGTTCTGGGTTCTAGTTTCACTGGTGGTTATGCATATTTTCATGAAGGCTTGGTTTTCTCTGTTTCTCTCTCCTGTGGAGCTGGGATGGAACCCAGGGCCCAGTGCTTGCTACTAGGCAAGTGCTTTACACTGGGTTACTTCCCCAGGCCCAGATTTGCTTCTTTGAATTTGCAATCTTGTGGGCATTCTGCACTGCCTGTAGCTGTGGTCTGGAAAGCTTTTGTATTGCTTCTGCCAGGCTTCTCAGAGAGATTACCAGCCGAGAACACTGTTTTTTTTTTTTTAATAAAATTTTAAAAATATTTCAGTGAAGTTTTAGGTTTATAGGATTATCACAAAGTACATAGTATCTTCTAATTCTCATAAGGTCGCTTTCATTTTTTTAGTCTAAATGTTGGATTAGTTTATCCAGGCATCATTAAAAAAGAGACCAAGGATGAAAGACTTTGGTCCTAAGGCTGCAGTAGGGCTCCACCTCTCCTTGGCCGCCTTCCTCTCCTGTGGTGGCACCTGGAGAAGGCAGGTGACTGTGCTTGTCGCGTTGTGTTGACAGGAATGCAGAAGCCGAGTAACACGATGCTACCTCTTTGCAGCAGGAGGAGTCAGGTGACAGCAGTACCCTGGGCCTGAGACTCAGGTGCACCTCCAAACTGAGATGCAGTTACTTGGTGCGTTATACGGTAGTTTTACCTTTTTGTGTCCTTAACAGCAGAGACACAGACTGTTTTTCTTCCCACTCGATAGGAGGGAGATAGGAAAGGATAGGGAGGTGAGAAAATTAACCAAGTAGGACTAGGGAAGTAGCTCAGTGATAACTGTGCTTAGCTTTCCCATGGCCCTGGCTTCCATCCCTCCCACTACCAGAACAAGAAATGGGTAAACTGCAAGAGCCCATATCAACAAGGCTACCAATTTCAGAGAAACCCTTGTGGCTGTCCACCTTGGTATGTCAACTGCATCGCATCAAGAAATGCTCCTGGGTGTGTGGGTGGTCAGAGGTACGATCGTGGGTCTGTATAGGGTCCCTTGCCACTTCCTCTCTGGCACTGTCTCCTGCTGTGCTTCCTGGCTGCCATGAACTGATCGCTTTGCTGTGCCACCCTTTCGCCATGGTGGTCCTGCCTTGGAGCCGGCTCTCCGTGGACTGACCTCGTGAAACTGAGAGCCAAATTAACCATCTCCTCCTTTATGTTGTAGGTGTCAGGTAGTGCACCTCAGTGCCAGAAAGCTCACTGGTCCAAGCATTCCAGTGTCCTCCTCCTCCTTCCCTTTGGTCCCGTTGGGGTGGCTCTCTCCTGGTGGAGACAAACGCACAGGACCTGGCCAAGTTCACAATGCTCTGCCAGCTTTCCGCACAGAGCACAGGCCAATGTCTTCACACTCATTCCTATTTTTGGTACCCGGGACCGTACTCAGGACCTTGAGCTTGCAAGACAGGGGCGGTGCCACTGAGCTAAATCCCCAGTCCTTTTATTATTATTTTTTAAATTGTTTTTTTTTTTGGACAGGGTCCCACTAGGTAGTTGAGACTGACCTGGAACTCACTGTGTAGTCTAGGCTTGTCTCGAACTCACAGTGGTCCTCCTGCCTCAGCCTTCTGAGTTCTGGGATTACAGGTGTGCGCCACCATGCCCGGCCTTTTATTTTTATTTTTTTGGTACCGGGGATGGAACTCAGGACCTTGCACTTGCGAAGCAGGGGGCGGCACCACTGAGCTACATCCCCAGCCTGAGGCAAGTGTTGTCCCTGCTCATCACCTTCACTGTGAGCTTCCTGGGACCCTTGGGGGCTGCTGATGCCACTGGGTGCTGGCTGTGACACCAAACCTTTCCAGCTCTTCCATGCCGCAGGGGCTGGGGGTCTGCAAACTACACTCTCCAGGGTGAGACGAAGCAGCAGACAGTGAGGCAGGAGCCTGGAATGGTGGACACTCCTGGCGGAGGCAGCGGAGCGGGCTCTAGGGTTCCTCCCCGAGCGGCGAGGCTCCAGGGGCAGCCGCGGTGGCTGTGGAGCTCTGGCAGTCGCTGTTGTATGCTGTGCATGGCCTCGGTCCCAGCAGCCGCTTCCCGTCACATCAGCAGGGGGCTTCAGGCTGCTGGGTTTCTGGCGTCAGGGCGCATTCTCCTGCTGGTGGCACCTGGATCATCCATTTCCCACCCAGCCCTGGAGGTGAGTCTGGCCTCCTGTTTCCCCTCTTGATCTGTCCTTTCCGGTTTTTCTCCCCAGTCCTTTCCGTTCTTTCGTAACAATTCCTGCGGTAGACTCCCCATTTGGAAATACTCAGCAGTGTTGTTTTCCTGACTAGGTGAGCACTGCCAGTTAGGTCCTAAGTGTGCCCTGTGGGCTCCTGTGTCAGAGGCTTCGGTCCTCAGCTGGCTACTGAGAGGCGGTGGTTACTTAAGGTGGGGCTTCAAGGGAGATCTTTGGGTCACTGGGAGTGGATCTGCCAAGGAGATGGAACCCAAGGCCTTCACACTGAACTGCTCCCTCAACCTTTTATTTAAAATTTTTATTTATTTATTCACTCATTATTCATTTTACTAGGGATTAAACCCAGGGCCTTCACACCCTTCTTCGACAGGGGCTTGATAAATGGGCTTAACCGGTGATCCTCCTGTCTCAGCCCCTCAGAGTGCTGGGGTCACAGGTCTGCACCATGCCCAGCCTTCCTGTGCTTTTAGACAGGGCCTCACTAAGCTGCTGTCTTCTAGGCTGGGCTTAAACTTGCACTCCTACCTCAGCCTCCTGACTGACGGGACAGATGGGCAGCACCTTGTCAGGCTTTTTCTTTGCTTCCTGGTGAGTGGTTTTGTTCTACCACACACTGCTGCCACAGGCCCAAAGCAACAAGGCCAAATGATCATGAGCTGAAACCTTTTCGCTGGCAAGCCAAAACAATTTTCTCAGGCCTCTTACAGTGATGGGAAGCTGATAAACACACACGCACCCCAATCTCACCTTTTGCCTTGGCCAAACCTGCTGAAACCAGGGGCCGGCTCAACTGCAGCCCTGTGCTGTTAGCCCTGATGAGGTGAAGAGAGCTGCTGTGGGCAGAGGGTGGGGAGACAGCCCTTGGGGCCGTGGCCAGCTGGCTTGGGTTTTTAAGTCCCCCGCAGCACTCTGAGGCTCACTGCCTCCCCCAGGGCCCTTCCGTGGTCCTAGGACCTGTCCATTCCTTCTGCGACGGCGCTGCATTACAACAAGGCCTCTTCAGGGTGTGCACATCCATTCCTTTGTCCAGTCCTCTGCTGGGCAGGATGGCACCTTCTTGTCCTCCACACCCCTCGTAAAGGGGGGCCCAGCAGCAACCACAGTTGCCCGCACCCCAGAGCGCCCTTTGCCCCTCTGTAGTCTCCTGGTTCAGAATAGCATGCATACAGCAGAGTCAGCCACAAGTCTGCTCTTAAATACTTAATTCCCATTTATTTAAAGTTCTGTCAGTCTGTGTACACTATTTATATTAAAAACACAGGAAGCTGGACTCAGCAAAAATATACATTTCAGTATTGGAGATTGTAGAGACACTGAGGTCCACAGCCCTCAGCACAGACAGGGCAGGGTGGTGGGGAGGCATCAGGCGCTGCCCTACTTCACAGCTTTGGCCCAGAGGGCAGCGCCCCAGCACAAAGTCAGCCCAGCCGGGTCAGGAGTAGAGAGGCAAGGGTCTCCTAGTACAGTGGCCCTGGGACACAGGTGACCACCAGGCTGTTGGGGGCAGAGGTGAGGCCTATGCTGTCTTCAGGCTGTTTCCTCCCAGACCCCTTGGGAAGCCCAGGTTCAAATCCTGGCTAATATGTCGTCTTGCTCCGAGGCCTTAGGTGGTCCCTCACCCCCATAGGCCTGGCCAGCCCTCCCGCAGACACTGCATCCCAGGCTGGGCCTTCGCCCCTCCTGAGGTGGCTGGCCTGAGCCACAGGACTAGCTAGCTGCATGGTCCCAGCACCAGAGGCTGTGCAGGGACAGTCTCTAGGGATCAACTAGGGCAGCGGTGGAGGTGCTGGGTGAAAACCCTGCCCATTTGGACCTGCCTGGCACCGGGGACAGCAGGTGCCTGGCACCCACCTCTCAGGGGCAGAGACACGGTAAAGTGATCGCAGTGCAGTGCAGGGTGTGTGTCGGCCAAGTGTCTCCTGCAGGAGAAAGGGGTGGATGTCCTTTCAGCTGTGCTGGGTGGGGAGTGGGCGCTGACAGAGGCCTGCCCCCGACCCCCTGGCCTCTGGCCCCAGGACTCAGAATTAAGTGTGCTGTTCCTTGGAACCAGCGTCTACCTCCCTCCTCTTCAGTGGGGTGCAGGGCCCACCTGGAGGGAAATCTGCCTCCATCCAGACTGGGGTGCAGCCAGCACAGGGGCCACCAGCCACTGTGGTCTAGAAGACTGGTGCCGAAGACAGAAGATGAGGGGTAGGAGGCCGGAAGAGGGTCTTGAGTCTGGAGCCAGCCTTGGACTTGGGCCAGGAAACTGGAGAGGGGACACATCTGGGTCTCACTCAGGAACCCTGCCCACTGTCCTCTGAAGCAGGGACCCAGTGACCACAGGCTGCTGCTGCTGTAGACTAGGCCAAGCTTCCCCCGAGAAGCCAGGCCCAGAGAGCGTAGTGTTTCTTTGGATGGCTCCAGGATTCAGGCTTCAGAAGCTGAAATCGGGCAGAGGCTGAACAAGGGGGCGGGGCCTGGATGTGGGTGGGGCAAAGGCAGGGCGTGGCCTGAAAGGGCGGGGTGAACCAGGTCACTCCTCTCAGAGAAAGGTGGAAAGAGGGTCCTGGTCTAGGCTGCTGGTGAGATAACAGTGTCAGAGGAAAGGCCAGACACGGCACCACAGCACAGGGAGAGGCAGGGAGGACAGGAAGCAAGAGGGGAGGCTGGTGAAGAGGGAAGAGCCTGAGGAGCTGACAAGGCAGGAAGTGAGAGACAAAGAGCAGCTAGAGGAGCAAAGCAGGGGAAGAAAAGGGACAGGGAGCCAGGGCTGCGTGTGTCGGGAGTGTGGGCTGTGCTGAAGACTTGTGGTGGCGCGTGGGGCAGTCCCATGGCTGGGCACGGCTCAGTACATGTCCTTGTAGATCTCCTGCAGCAGTGGGTGCAGCAGGGTCTCGGTCTCGGTCTTCTTGATCCACTGCATCATCTGGGCGTGCTCAGTGACCAGCTGCCGCAGGTCGGCCATCTTCTGCAGCAGCTTGGGGAAGAGGTACTGGGTGTCGGGGTGGTTGACCTGCAGGTGGAACTCGAGGGCGCGCAGGATGGTGTCCTGGATGGCCTCCACCTGAGGCACGTTCATGAGGCCCGGCCGGTCTACGGGGACATGGGACACGCGGTCTCAGAAGGGCAGGGGAGCTCCTGTGCCCCCACCCTGTGACCTGGCCTGGGACAGCCCCAAGCCCTGTCCTTTCAGTGACAGTGCCACTGAGTTCCGGCCTCAGCCCCTCTCTTTAGTGTCCTGCCAAGAGTGCTCTCTTGACCAGGGAGGGGAAAAGGCATCATGGTTAAGAGATTCTGCCTGGGTTTAAATCCTGCCTCTCCCACAGGCTTCCCGGAAGGCCTTGGGAAGTCACCTGGCCTCTCCGGGTTTCAGTGTCCTCATCTATAAAACAGGGATAAAAGAACCTCCAGCCTGGGCCGTTGTGAGGACCAGGTGAGTTGTAGTTATGAAAAAGAACCAGAACAGTGTGTGGCACGAGGTAAGCTCTAGCCACAGCTGCTGAGCAGGCTTGTTATTCAGCTGGAATCTGAAAAGTGCAGGTGAGGTACAGGTTTGTCCACCACCCAAGTAACCCCAAGAACACGATGGAGTTCCCTCCACCTCCGTCTGTGTAAGAGACTGAGCCGATCCTGCAAGGCCTGCAGTGCTGGGGTCACACACGTGCCCCACTGCCTGCCCTGGCCTCGCTCACCTCCGCACAGAATGATCGCTGCGATGAACAGAGCCAGGTCACTGTCGTCGAGTTCCAGGGCATTGAACTTGACAGCAAACTCAAACTTGGGCTCGAGGATGTCACTGAAGGGCTTGCGGAGGCTGCGCAGGAACTCGTGGGTGACAAAGCCACTGCCGTTGGCCACCAGCAGCCCGTCTTTGTTGACGATAGAGGCCAGCATGGCGAAGATGGCCTCGTGCACGCCATACTTGAGCAGGGTCACCTGGTCGTTGAGGAAGAGGCTGCTGAAGTTGGGGATGCTCTTGGCGAACTCGGTGAGCTCGCGCACGGTCTCCACCGTGGTGCACTGGCAGCGGTAGAAGACGTGCACGCTGATCTCCTTGTAGGGCGGCAGGCCGTTTACCAGCTGCTTCCACACCAGGCCCTTCTCCGCCTGCCACAGGGTCTCGATGTCGTGGATCACGAAGGGCTGAAAACCAGGCCCCATCAGAGGCTGGGTCTCGGGGTGCCCCACCCCGCTCCATGCTCCCACACCCCTGCCTGTGCCACGGAGTCAGGGCTTCTGGGGCTGCTGAGGCTGCTGCCAGGCAGCGACACTCACCGCTGTGTGGCTGGACTTGCCGGTGAGGATGCTGCGGGCCTTCTTTTTGGTCATGTTGAAGTTTTTCAGGTAGGCATTGTAGATGTGCTTGGCGAAGGCCTTCAGGTCGGCCAGCTGAGGGTTGTGCTGCTGCTCCTCTCTGGCTGTCAGCCCTGCCACCAGCTTCCTCTTCTCAGCCTCCGGCATCCGACCAAAGCGGATGGCTGCGCAGATGGGCGGGGGACAGTGACAGTGACGGAGGAGCAGGTCAGGGCCAGCACTCTAACCTTCCTGTCTCTCCTCGGGGACATAGGTCAAGGATGGAGACCTAATTTTGACCCTCAGCAGCTCCAAAGTAAGCAGGACAGCACGGGGCCGGCCCCTTGACCTTAGCTCCAGGAGGGCCAGGGCTGGCTCCCTCACAGGGTCCTTAGTTGTCGAGTGACCAGGCCACCTGGCTGGGAGGCGGCACAGCATGGCAAAAGTCAGGCTTTGCTGATGAGGTCTGTGCCTCGGCTCCAGCTGGCACCTCATGCAGTGTAGCTTTGGATGGACCGTCTCACCCTCATACCTTACTGGGTCACTGCAACAATTAAATGAAAGTATTTCCTGGAGCCCCAGCTACTCCAAAAGGCTGAGGTGGGAGGATCGCATGAGCCTGGGAGTTCAAGACCAGCCCAGGCAACAATCCCAAAAAAGCAAAAACAGGATATGAATCTGACTTTTGTTACAAAAAAAGTGAGGAAAGGATTCCCTCAGCCCGAGTCTTCTTAGGAACCCCCTAAGCCTCCAATGGAATGGGGCCAGGGCAGATACAGACTGAGCCGGTAGGGTCAAGCCCCAGGACTGCCAGAGCCCAGACAAAGCCTCAGATGGGGGCTTGGGTCCCACTACCTATGACCATGTGAGACAGCTGGGGCATCACGGGCAAGGTGGCCCCACAGCTGACTACCATGGAGACGTTTAGATAAGAAGCTCCCTGTCCTCTAGGGTCTAACCTAGAGGCACAGAGGGGCCACAGGGCAAGAGCAGGGAAGGCTCAGCCTCCTGGGAGTGCCAGGCTCCAGGCAGCTGACATGTGTGGTAACTTCCTGGCCCCTCCAAACACGGAGAAGGGGACCGTGGCCTTGGCAGTCAGGTCACTCGACACAGGCTGAGTTCCCGCACTTCACACAGGTCTATTCTCAGCTCCCTCTGGCCAGAACAGGGGCCACAGGTGCAGAAAGGGGGTGACTGCCCAGGCCCAGCGCCCTAGGTGGACACTGGTGGCCGGGAAGTGGCAGGTCTTAGGTGCCGAGGCCCAGGGTCCCGGTGAGCGAGGTTAGCAGCCAACGCTCACAGTGCTTTCTGTACGCGGGTGCTCTCCACAGGCACACGCCCGCCCCGCCGGCTCTCACCGTTGTGTGACATGCCCAGGGCCAGGCATTTCTGGAAGCGGCAGTACTGGCACTTGTTGCGGTTCTTCTTCTGGATCTTGCAGCTCCGGTCGCACCTCTCATACTCCAGCTTCATACGGATGGTCCGGCGGAAGAAGCCCTGCGGGACCGAGAGCAGGTGAGCAAAGGCCGGGGGGGGGTGTGCTGCCTGCTGGGCTGTGCCAAGGGCCAGGGGCAGATGGAAAACTGCTGAAACCTGGAAGTAAGAGGCAAAATATTCTGGAAGGGAAAGGAAGAAAGCAAATGAAACCTTTTTTATTTTTTGATGGCACTGAGGGTTAAACCCATGGACACTCTACTATTGAGCTACATCCCTAGTCCTTTTTATTTGTTTTTTTGGTACCGGGGATTGAACTCGGATCCTAGCGCTGGCAAGGTAAGCACCAGAGCCACTGTGCTAAATCCCTGGCCCCCTAGTCCTTTTTATTTTGAGACAGGGTCTCCATAACTTACCTAGGCTGGGTTCAAATTTGTGACCCTCTTGATTCAGCCTCCCTCAGGGTTGGGATCAAAGATGTGCACCATACTCAGCTCACAGATTGTTTCATTAAACCACCATTTACAAAATACACAGAAGCAGGTACATTTATGAATTTATGAAGGGTGAGGGATTTAGTTCAGTGGTTCCACCGCCTGTCCCCGGTACCAAAAAACAAAACAAAAGATACATTTATGAATACATCAAGTTAGTCACAATACAATTTTATGTTACCAAATAGAAGCTTTAAGACTGCTTGGGGCATGGGCAGTAAATGTGGTATATCACTTTAATTATTTCAGAAATTTAGGGCATGGTGGCACACACCTATAACCCTAGCACTTGAGAAGGCTGAGGCAGGAAGACGGTGAATTCAAGACCTGCTGAAGTAGCTTACTAGACTATGTCTCAAAATTATAGCTGGCTGGACCGGGAATTTAGCTCAGTGGTTCCCTGCCTGCCTTGTAAGCATAAGGACCTGAGCTCGATCACCCGGTGCAAAAAAAAAAAATCATAGCTCGCTAGGTAGGGTGAGAATGTAGCTCAGTAGTAGAGTACTCTCGGGTTCCATCCCCAGCACCACATTAAAAGAACAAACAAAAAGGGAGCTTTGTGGAACTGTAAGACAGGGTTTCCCTGCATAGTTCAGGCTGGCCTCAAACACAGCAATCTTGCCTCAGCCTCCTAAGCGCTGAGATTACAAGTGAGTGTCACCACACCCAGCTTGATTTGTAGAGTTTTAATGGCATGCAGGTAGGAGGAAAAACCCAGAAACATCACTGGAAGAAGAAATGCAATGATCTGTTTTTTTCCCCTTCCTCCCAAAGAGCCTCCAAAGGCCTTGAGGCTCGGACCTCAGGAAGACCAGAGCCCAAAGCCCTCCCTTCCTACCTGCCTTCTGAAGTCTGGCCTCCAGGGGGCACTGGCTGGCCTACAACCTTGCAGTGAGTGGCTGGGTCAGCTGGCAGGTGCCCAGCAGGACAGGCCAGCAAAGAAACCTGTCCTCTCCTGCAGAGCCAACAGCTCGGGCTTGGAATGGGCCCAAGGAGATTTCACAGTGGGTTTGCCAGGGCCCTGGCCTGCGGAAGAGAAACCTGGCAGGTTGCTCACTCTGTGACCACAGCCCGAGGGCCTCCACAGTCCGTACCTTGCACCCCTCGCATGCGTGGACACCGTAGTGGAAGCCTGACGCCTTGTCCCCGCACACCCGGCACTCCATGTTGAGGCTGCCGCCCAAGGCCCCGTCACAGCCCATCTGCAGCTGGTCCAGCAGCGAGGGTGGAGAGGCGCCCTGGGGGAGGTCTGTGGACACACGACGGAGGACAGCGTCACTCTGCCAGTCAGGAAGCACCCCGAGCCGTGGCCTGCGGAGAACCGGAGGACCCGCTTCTTCACCTGCCATGTGCAGGTGCCTGCCACAGGACGAGGGCTCCCCGGGCCTTCCTGCACCAGCGTCTGCCAGAGCACAGGGAGTGGGCACGGCTGTGCTCTGGGCGGGGCAGATGGAGCAGAATCTCCAGGTGGTCCTTGGAGGCTGCTCCTTGTGGGCCCGTGGCTGGTGGAGCCGCTCTGTGGGAGTGCAGAGCTGCAGAGCTCTGTGGGGCCACCGACCCCCATCCCAATGTTCCGGGTGCAGATTCTAGAGAGGCCCTAACAAGTCTCGCCAGAACCTCACATTCACTCCCATGAAACTCTGATGTGGGTACAAATAGTGTCAGTATTGGTCACAGTGACAGAGCTACATACTGTTTCCCCAAGTTTTTCTACTCAACGCACAACCATGTGAACCATGGCGTTGGGAGGGAAGATGGGTGGTGTGGCTGCAGCTTTGGGCAGCTGTGCTGTTGTCACAGGACTTCAGTAAGAAGCTGTGCATTTCCCCCAAAACTCAGGAACGAAAGGACGGGGACCTCACTGGGTCAGGCCTCCTGACCCCTACCTCTTGACACCATGGCCTAAATCCCCACTCTCGTGGGATCGAGCGACTTCCTCAGAGGTCAGTGCCGAGTTCTCAGCCAAGAACTGCCAAACAGGAGCACCTGAGACTCCAGCCTGGCCGCAGCAGCTGATCAAGCAGCACTGGCCCCTGCAAAAGGCCCAGCGGGCTGCTCCCCTCCTAGCTGATGAGCTTCATGGGCGACACAAGTTCTAAGTGGCCTGTGCCATCCCAGCACCTCAGCTCCTGTCTTCAGTCATTCAGCGGGGTGTAACTGTCTCCTCAGCTGCCTGTGTCACTATTCACCAGTGCACCTGCTTGTTGGTGGGTGCGCGCCACCATTTGACGTCAGGGCCACAGGGCAGGGCGGGGCACTGCTGTGCAGGTGCTGGACATACACGGGCTCAACAGCTCGGGAGTCAGGTCCTCACGATGCCCCAGGTCCTGGCCTCAGCAGTGCCCTGGAGGCATGAGAACGGGAGCCGTGTGGGAGGCAGCGAGTGAACTTGCCACAGCAGCCCTTTGTGGAGGCCGCTCAGACACGGACGGTCCTGTCGCCTTTGCCCACCGTCTCAGACTCCTGTCCCTCTCCATGTTGCCTCTGGGCCTGACTTCCCAGCCCCACCCCAGTCTCGTCCACAGTGACCAAGCACCTTGGATGAGGCACATCTTTCTTTAGCCCCTCCTCCTCTTCCCTGTGGGCCAGGCGTCTGGCCAATGGGTCACTGGTGGCTTCCTTTTCCGCTCACAGACAGACATCTGCTGAGCACCTGCTGGGTGCAGGGTGAGATGGGACCAGGCCCTGCCCTCAGTCAGCTGAGGGAGGAAACTAGCTCACAAGGGGGAGGGGGCGGGAAGGGGCAGGGGCAGGGACAGTGACTGCTCCCCTCTCTGGGGTAAAGGTGAGGACCCCAGCTGACTTCCAGGAGCTCAGGATGGGCAGGCACAGTAGGTGGGAACAGCTCAAAGCCCATCTCCACTGCGTCCCAGGTGGTGGTCCTGAGCTCAAGGCCAAGTGTCCTGGGCTGGGCCGCTGGGCCTCAGTGTCCTCTCCTGCACAGTGGAGATGAGAGCACATTGTGGAGAGTCCAGGGGAGAAGTGCGGAGTTAATGCAGAGGAGGTTTTTGGAGCGGGATGTGCTACACGTAGAGACCAGCTACTGGGCCAGCGCCTACTGCAGAGCCGTGGTCTGCAGTCCCCACACTCTCGCAGGGCCCATACCCTCGACAGGGGGTCCCGGGCACCACCGCTCTCCCCTCACCTCTCCTGCCTGCTGCAGTCCCTGGCTGGGAGGGCTCTGAGCCCACGATGCCCAAGCTCTGGCAGTGAATGGACACAGTAACTGGGGAGCGGCATGGGCCTTGGTGAGGACCCCTGCTCACTTAGGCTGAGACTTGGAGGAGTGGGGGTGGGCGGGGCAGGCCAGGTGTACACCGAGGGTGGCTTGATCAAGAAGTGCTGCGAATCAGGGACCCGGAATGATGTGGCCCGTGGGTGGATTTTCTAAAAGTAAAGCTTCTGTTCCTTCTTGTTGACCACTCAGCTTAAGGGTTCATGTCCAAATCGTCACATCCTCCCCCAAACACTGAGGGCAGGACTCGCCCCACTCTAGGAACCAGGTTCTCAAGATTGCCCCGTTCTAGAACCTCTTGGTCAGAGATGGGGCAGGGGCGGCTGGGATGCTGAGAGGGCCTCGTCCATGGGGGAGCTCCTGCCTGCACCCCCAGGTCTGGGGTGCTGTGCATGTGGGAGTGTGGCTCTCAGGTGCTCTCCAAAGGCCCAGTGTTGAAGCCCACAAGCCATGGTGATACTGGGGACCGTGGAACTTTTGGGAGGTGGGGCCTCGCCGGGGGAAGTTAGGTCACAGGGGCGTGTAACCTTGCCCCTCTTCTCTCTCGTCAGGTGCCAGGAAGCCAGCAGCTCTCTCCACTGAGCACCCTGTGTGATATGTTGCCACAGGACCAGAAGCAACAGAGCCAAGTGACTGCAGCCTGAACCTCCAAAATTGTGAGCCAAACAAACCTTTCCTCTTCTAAACTTAATTATCTCAGGTATTTCGTCACAGTGTGGAACACTAACAGTCCTCCCATGTGCCCCTGCCTGCCTCTCCCAGCAGGGGAAGGGGAAGAGCCCACATCTGTCAGGCCCCTCAGTCCAAACGTGGCAGTGTCTTTGTCACCTGCCTCACACTGAATGGGATGGAACCTATGCCTGACTCAGTGTGCGCCAGGCCGGCGCGTTATTGAGCATGTCATACCTGTCGGACTCACACTCTTCAGGTGGGGTGCTTCATCCCTACTTTACAGGTAAGCAAATGGGTTCAGAAGGTCAGCAACAAGCTCGTGGTGTGATGGTTTTATGTGTCCACTTGGCTGGGCCGGCGTACCCAATTTTTGCTTCAAGCACCAGTCTGGATTTTGCCATGAAGGTATTTGTGAAGATGTGGTTAACAGGTAGGTTAGACTGGGGGTTACCTTTCATAATGTGAGCGGGCCTCATCCAACAGGTGAAGACTTTACAAAGGAGACTGGTCCCCTACAGACAGGGGGGAACCCGACTCCACGTGGCCTGTGGGTCTGAGTGGGGACACAACTTCCCTGGGCCTCCAGCCTGCCCTGTAGGAGCCGGATGGCTCACCCCATGGCCGTGGGAACTAAGTCCGTAAACCACACTCCGTTCTCCACACGCAGCCCCCGACTGCTCTGCTGTCTTGGAGAACCCCAAGACACCAGCAGAATGGGGGTCAAAACCTAGACCATGCAACTCCTGGAGCTGGGCTCTTGTCCACTGCACCCGCAACCACTACCCACGTGTTCATACCGCAGAGCACGACACTGTCATTATCAACAACTGGGCTGCTGAGGACGATATCAGGTCACGGGCCAATGTTCGCACTCTGTAAACAGCAGCCCTGACACTCCAGGGGGAAATATCAGTTTCGCCATCTTTGATTACAAGTTCGGCAAACAGACACTGTTGACCTTTTCCCCCTACACATTGTGTGCAGCTCAGCTCTCCTGCGCATCCGTCTGGAATCCAGTCTCACACCGGAGTGTGAGGGTCACCAGGGGCGGCCAGCCTTCTGTTTACTTTGCTGGCAGAGCCTACAGGCAAATAGCACCCATTAACTCCTGAAGTCAGAGTGAATTCTGCCGGCCCCGGAGGTGGGTACAGAGGAGCCCCTGCCTCTGCTGCCCCGTCTGCTGGGACTGTGGGCGCCCTGTCCCGTTGCCCGGCACTGTGCCTGGCCCTATCTGAACACCCCCCAGCACCTGCTGAGTGAGAGGGGTGCTGAGGGCAGGTGGAAGGACACTGTATCTTCCTCTTCCTCACTGAAGCAAGAGGTAGAAGGATGGGAGTGCATGTGGGCCTGGCTACGGACGGCCCGTTCCTACCCAGCCTGGAATGAGCTCCTGGCATCTCAGTTTCCTCACTGCTGCAAGCTAATGGCAAGGCCTGTCCTGCCAGCCTCACAGGCTGAGGATGCTTCATGGTGCCAAGTTCAGTACCAGGGTGCAGAGTAGGTACAGAATGGCAAAGATTTTGTGGTGTTTCTTTTCCCTGATTATTTGGGATTGAATTTAGGGGTTTCACACTGAGCTATATCTCCAGCCCTTTTTAAAAAATTTGAGACAGGGTTTTGCTAAGTTGTTAAGTTGCCCAGGCTGCGTTCAAACTTGCAATCCTCCTGCCTTGGCCCCCCACAGTGCTAGATTACAGGTGTGCACCACAGCTGGCTTGTCTGGGGTTCCTCATGGGTTCCTGAGGGAGCTCTGGGGTCAATGTCACAGACCCCTGGGGGCACAGCAGGGAGCCAGTAGGTCATTTGCGCCATTTCTTCTCACCTTGCTGAGCCTATGATGATGAGAAGACTGAGACGGAGGGGTGAAAGTAACAGTGAGGAGCATGGCTCATGTCAAAGCCCTCCTGCCCCCAACAGAGGAAGAAGCCCTGTATCTCCAGGACCCCTCACCTGCCAGCTCCCTTTAAAAAACGCTAATCAGTTTATTTTAACCTTCGGAAGACAAGCAGCACAAGTGCTTTTACAGTGAGGAAAGCACTGCAGCCTCGCTGAGAAAGGTACACAACATCTCAGGACAGGCCTCCACCCGGGGCTCCGCTCGCCTGAGCCCACCAACCCCGCCTTGTGGCACCTTCTGAGATACCCAGGGATTCTTACCCAAGAGGTTCCTACTCTGTCAGGAACTCTTTCCCTCCAAGTGCGTCCGGAACTACTTTATCTCTTTTAATGACCGCAGTGTGTGCAGGGGAGGCTTCCTAACCAGTTCCCCGCAGAAGGGGCCTTCCCCTTTCTGCTAAACACACGGCAGGGACTTTTCTATGCCAAGGGAGCAAGTATTTACACAGGACACTTTCCTAGAGGGCACTGTTTGGCCACCTTTTGGGACTGCAGCCCTCACCTCCTGGCCAGAGGTGACCACGGTCCCCTCAACGTGGCAGCTAAGTGACATCTCATCTTAAAATGCCTTCTCTGACCACCGGTGGGACTGAAAATGTTTTCTGCTTTCTGACTACTTACACTTGTCGGACTGTGATCTGCCTTGCCTGTTGATTGCCTCGTAGAGTCCGTGGGAACTCTGTATGTATTGTGACTTTAACACACAGTGACTCCTGTTTCCGTTACCTAGCAGGAAGTCCTCCTACCTCCACCTCCTCTCGCATGTTCAGCAGAGCCCATGTAGCAATACATGGATGACACCATGTGGCTGGCTCGGCAGATTTGCTGCAGACATTTCCCCATGGCCTAGATCCCACCAGCAAAGCTGCCCAAGACGCCACAGTCACACCTACCTCGCTGACTTTGCTTCCAGCCACTACATATGAACACGACTTGGGTATGTGGCACGGTCCCGACTAGGAGCATGTAGAAAACTGAGGACAGGACACGTCCGTATGCCCAGGCCCACACACAGGCCCGGCCGTGAGGTCACAAATCCCATGCCCTGCTTTTCCTTGCATTACCCTGACATCCCTGGCTCATAGTCCCTGTGTCTTCCCTCTGCTTTCTGGCCCACGTTCAGAATGGCACGTGCCCGCTGAGTGAATTCTCACTTCTGGGGAGCCTTTACTCTCTCCTAAGACCGGTCACCAAAGTCATCCAGCCACCAGGTGACACACAGTGTGGACTACTTTGGGCCTGGGGGTGCTGCCTACGGTTTCACCTCACACCATGCCACTTCCGGGGTCTGGAAGACTGACAGATGGACAGCTCTCCCTTCACCCAGCCTATGCCGTGCCCTGAAGAGGAAGAACCATGCTTTCCAGGTTCAAGGCCGTGTGGCTCAAAGATGCAGCCTGTCTCAGGTGTGGGCCTGGCAGGAGCCTGCTCTACCTCCACAGCCCGCGTCTGCAGGGCTGCCTGTTCAGCTGCAAACAGCAGCAAGATCGGGTGACGGGGGGTACTCCCTCAGGCCTCAGTACCCTTGAAGGAGGGGAGTGAGGGTCAGTGGGGTGCGCAGCTCCTACCCAGCAGGAGGGAGGCTGGCGGAAAGTGGGTGGGGACATGAGCAGCATGTTCTGGGTGTCCCTCAGGTGGACATGGCTGATGGCGAAGACGGAGACGGAGACGGTCGTTCACATCTCACTGCCAGGGGTAAGCAGGAGAACCAACAAGTGGGACATGGGAAGCTGAACTGTTTGGCTGCCAGGAGCAGCACTGATTACAGCTGTCCCTTCCCATGTTTAGCACTCAGGCCTGCTCACAATCTGGGCAACTCTGCTCACTCTAATTAGCACCAGATTAACAGGGTCCGTGTTTCCACCGAGGCACTGTTAATGCTGATGGCCTCGAAAAATGAGAACCAAGTCCTGTCATGTAAAGGTACAAGATCCCAATAACGAATGTAACTGTACTGTATGCCTAAAATGTACCAATAAACTCAATAAAAAGAAAAAAAAATGCTGATGGGCCTCGGATGCTGGGTGGCAGCAGCAGCGGGGTAATGAGAGTGACATGCATTACACACGCCTCTCTCTTAGTTCTTACAAACCCAGGGCCACATCGCCTACCATCCCTGCCTGCTTTCCCGACAGAAGGGACAGAGTTGGCGCTCTGGCGAGGTGGGAGCCCAGGCTGGCTGGCTCCGGGCTTTGCCCTTGCTCTGCTGCTCCGCACCCGGCACGATGCTCTGCCCCCTCCTCACCTGTGTAGCTGCTGGAGGGAAGTGCAGGCTCTGGTCCCCCATTGAGCTCTGGGGCCCCTTCGGCCTCTGCCACTTCCTCTTTCTCCTCTTCCCAGACCTCAGGGGTCTCCTCCTGTGGCTGCTCCATGGCTGATCTCCCCTCGGCGCCACGCCTGCAGGCCTGGTCATAGCTCTGGCATCATCTGCGTCTGTGCGCAGATGGACCTCTACAGTGCTGTTCCCGCTGGCCTGGGCAGAGGGAAGATAGGAAGGTGTTAGGGGAGGTGGTGACAAGGCTGTCGAGAGTGGCAGGAGAGGGGCAGGCTGGAGGGCCACTGTCATGGAAGCAGCTCTCTCCAGCTTCTTCCTCAGTCCCCGATGGTACATGAGTCACCTGCCCTACCAGCCTTGTCCACCGGCCTCCGCGGGAGGTTGGTGGGGTTGACAGCAGTGGTCATTAACACACTGGGTGACCCAGGGCGCCCCTTCCTGCCCCTCTGCAGTGTCTGCTGTCTGAGTCCCTGGAGCTTGTCGGAATGACTTGGGAGTTTCCCAACTCTCCAGCCCCCTGGCAATCCCAATATGAATTCCTCCCCTCCCAATCCCCATGCTGACCCTAGACTCAGGACACAAATCACTGCTTTCTTGCAGGGTGGGTCCATCCTTCCAGCGCTGGGGTGTGAGGCAAAAACACCAACTCTTGCTGTGCCTGGCTCCTGCTCACAGCCCTGCAACCAGGCCCTTGGTAGGGGACGTGAGAGGTGACCCATGACCCCTTACCCAGGGGAGGCAGCGCCAGCCATGAGCAAGTCAAGCCCCACCCACCAATGCCTTGGGCAGAGGCACTGTGGTGGGGAAGAGCCAGCCAGGAGGGACAGCCCCACAGCCACGTGGCCTGGGAAGGAGCAGGGGAGGGACGACCTGCTGTAGGATCCTTCTTCCTCCTCCTCCAGGGACCCATGCCTATCGCCTCACTCCCTGGCGCCAGAACCTGGGGCTGACTGGAGGCTTTCTGTCTGGGTGCTACGGCGGGGTCAACAACTTGGCTGCACCCTGGAATCGTGGAGACCTTAAAAAAAAATATATGAATGTCTAGCCAGGTGTGGTGGTGCAAGCCTAAAAACCCAGCCCTCTGGGGGGCTGAGGCAGGATGATGGAAAGTTAGAGTCCAGTCTGGGCAACTTAGAGAGACTTAGCAAAACCCTTTCTCAAAATAAAAAAATTTAAAAAGGAGTGAGGATACAGCTCAATGCCAAGGCCTTGGGTTCGATCTCACTGGGGGGAGGGAGAGAACTTAAAATATCTGTATCTAGGGCTGGGGGTTTAGCTCAGTGGTTCTGGTGCCTGCCTTGAAATCGCAAGGACCCCAGTTTGATCCCCGGTACCAAAAAATTTGTATCTATATGGATACCTCAGTTGAGATTCCAATCTGAGTGATTTAAGGAGCAGAGTGGGTGCTGAGATTTTTACTTTTTAATTCCCCTGGCAACTGTAAGGTGCAGTCAAGCTTGGGAACCACAGCATAGCAACTTTGCTGGGTAGTAAGTGGCTCCCCACGACACATCTAACCCCAGTCCTCGCCTGGACCCCCAGCAACCTCTTCCCAGCTCTCCTACAGACAGCCTGGACACTCTGCCTGCAGTCTAAGAGGCCAGGGGCAGGGGATCTGCACTTTTGGGAAGCGTTCTTGTTGACGTGACAGCCACAGGAAGGGAGAGGTCCCTGCAGGACAGAGCAGCTTGTCAAGGGAAGAAAAAGGAAGAGGCGGGATCCCCGGGCCAGCCACGCATCTCAGAGCCCCTGCAGGAGCTGTGCAGGGGTGACAGCCATCTCAGATGCTGTGGAGGTGCAGGGCGACCAAGTGACACACAGCTGGTGACTGTGAGGTCATCAGAGCCCCTGCGAGACAAGAGCTGAGAGGGAGACCTGGGCTGGAAGAGTAGTAGAGGCAAGAAGGTGGGACAGCAAGAAGACGGTGAGACTAATGTGGGCTAAACACGACAGGAAAACGCAAGTACAAGAAGATACTAGCCGGGGAAGGTGGTGGGGCCACAAAGGGAGGGAGGAGTGGAGGAGAGTCAAGAAAGCTGTGCACGGACAGTTTTCTTTTTCTGGAGTACTGGGGAAGGAACCTGGTGCCTTGGCATTCTAGGCAATCCCTCCGCCCCTGCCCAGAAGCTGTGGACAGAGGAGCAGACAGTGGAGAAACACAGGGTGGACTCAGGGGAAGCTGAGCAGGAGGAGAGGTGCGAAGGCAACAGCTGAGGGACACAGGAGGAAGAAAACACAGTAGCACAGGGCGGGGAAGCCACACAGAATGGCCCGGCCTTTGAGTTAATAAAGCAGCAGGGACCATGTCTTCTCTGAGTCTGGATAGAATCAAAGAAGCTGCTTGCCTGTGCTTTGGCAAACAGGGCAGGGAGCGAGCTGGAGAGGAATACAAAGAATCAGGTAAATCTATGGTAATTAAGATGGAAGGGCACCGGCACGTGAACCATCAGTGAGAATAGGGAGAGGCGGTAAATACAACAGATGCAGACACAGGGGCAACTTCAACACGTTATAAAAAGACGCAGCTCAGACACAAGGGAAAGACAGACTTTTCAATAAAAGGCACCGACTAGTCTCAGAGAAATTAAGCTGGATTCCCCCCTTATGTTTCACATCTTAAACCAAGACAAGATCTAAATGCATCAACTATTTAAAGTTCAAACAAACAAGAAGTTGTATAAAAATATGAATAAAAATAGTCTTGGGGCAGGGGATTTAGCTCAGCGGTTCTGCTACCTGCTTTGCAAGCACAAAGACCCAAGTTCGATCCCTGGTACCAAAAAAAAAAAAAAAAAAAAAAAAAAAAAAGCTAAGCAAGCACAACACTAAACCCATTCAGCTGTTTATGGAAACAGACTATGGATAGAAAAGTTAACAATTTTGATTGGGTAAAAAAAATACAAACTTTCTGCAAAGTTCGTAACTTTTTAAGTATAAAACCATTTTAAGAAGAAACCCCAGGTAATACGCTGAGAAAAATATTTACAACTTTCACCAGACAAAAGGCTAATTTCCCTAAAACAGTTCATAAAAGTTAATAAGTAGAAGATTAGCAATCCGAGAGAAAAATGGGCCCTGATAAGAAAATAAAATTTACAGAAAAGTTTCTGTTGGTGGTAGTTTTTTGACACAGGGTCTTGCTGTGTAGCGCAGGCTGGCTTCCAACTCTGGACCTTCCTGCATCAGCCTCCCCATACTGGGACTCCAAGTGCCCTCTACCACACATTTGGCTTTCAAGCATACAGTAAGGGCCAGGGATTTAGCTCAGTGGTTCTGGAGCCTGCCTTGTAAACACAAGGACCTGAGTTCAATCCCCGGTTTAAAAAAAAAAAAAAAAAAAAAAAAAAAGCATACGGTAAGATACTCAGGATTAGAATGAAAACAACATGGAAACACCTTCCTTACAATTAAAACACGCTAACCTGCTAGGGATGTAGCTTGGCACGTCCCTGGGTTCCATCCCAAGTATTATAAACAAAACAAAACACAACACTGACCATGCAAACACTGACATAGAGCATGAGGGAAACACATCCTTGGCAGAGAGCCCAGCGTGGTGGCACACACTTGTAATCCCAGCACTCGGGAGGCTGAGGCAGGAGGATCCTGTGAGTTCAAGACCAGCCTGGGCTGCATAGTGAGTTCCAGGTCAGTCTGAACTACATAGTGAGACCCTGTCTCAAAAAACAAACAAAAACAACAACAAAAAAATCCTTGGCAGAAAGGTAAACAGGTGTAGCCTCTAGAGAGGGTGACTTGGCCAGGCTACCTAAGTAAGTGCATCTACTCTGTGATCCATTTCTAAAATGATGAAAGCAACGCTTTAGGGTTATCTGTTACAGAATCATTTGACTGGTAAGGGGTGGGGAAGAAGCTAAGTGTCCATTATTAAACAAATTGTGTATGGAAACGTGGAATTCCATGCAGCCACAGACAAAAAAGTACATGGGCTGCTAAGGATGTGTCTCTATTATTAATTATAAGTGAACAGAACAATTTGCAGAATGAAGCAAAGAGCTAAGGATAAGTAAAGCTGTATCTGCTTCGATCTGTGTAAAACACAGCCCACAAAGACAGGGGTGCTGGCTCTCGGGGAGGGGCCGAGTGTCTGGGACACTCCGGAGAGAGGATTTTTACTGTATCTGTTGAACCTTTTAAATGTGGAGCTACACAGGTGTTACTCTTTCTAAAAAACAATTTAAACTGGAGTAAAATAAGGCGAAACTTACAAAGAAGGTGGAAGACAAGAGGGCATGATCACCATTCAGGAGCTCGAGTTGTAGCTTTTACAAGCCATCTGGAGGCGCTGGCCAGCTTTCCACTACAGGTTGGTCAAGTGCTCAGGAGAGTCAAGTAACCACTAAGACACCATACATACAGGCACCTCCCAATTATGGTAGTGCAGGATGGGAAAGCACAACGTCTCACAGATAAGGAGGGAACAGAACTATACACAACAGGGGATCCAGGAGGACTGGGTCCTGCAGTGGAAAAACTACTATGTTCTGCACTGCCCGTTTGTCCAGGGCCTGCCTCGGTACCAGCGTTCAGTTACATGAGATGTCACTGAAAGGGGAAGCTGGGTGAAGGATCTGTGCAACTCTAAGTTCTCTAAACTTTTCTATAACAGATCTGTCTTTTTTAAAGCTATATATATATATAT